ATACACAGACCAACAAAAATGACCAGAACGGAAATCAAGAAGCCGAAAAAAAGAAAAAGATAATCCGAACAAAAAAAAAAAAAAAAAAAAAAAAAAAAAAAAAAAAAAACTGAACTAATCTGGATAATTTAACTACCAAAATGATTCTCTCAAAGAAAGGATTCTAATAAGCCTAAAATCATAAAAATTCAATTACTAGATTCTGAGATCGATCTAGATTTGTATACTATTATACTGTATAAATACTATATACTACTATAGTATAGTATATATAATAATATACAAATATAGATCAATCTCAGGATCCAGTAATTGGATTTTTATAATTTTGAACTTGATAGAATCTCCTATTTGAGAGGATCATTTTGGTAGTTAAATCATTCAATTTGGTTTAGTAGAACAAAAGTTATTTATTATTAAAATATATATATATATTATTATATAAAATTAAAAATAAATACTGAATTTTGATTGGCTAATGGGGTGTCAGGTGGGGGAGGAGGGTCTGGCTTCAGAAAATTTATTAGTAAAAATAAATCAGCTAATTTCTGGAAGCCCCCTTAGTCAAAATAAATAACCTAAAAATAACTCTTTTTTAGTTAAATAAAATCATACTATTTACAAGTATTATATTATTAATGAAGAGTTTTATTCACCAAAAGATAAACTATGTTATACTTTAGCATGTTCTAATGCGGTTAAATATAAAACTCCAAATAACTATTTGGTTCAAACTAGTTGGGGAAGAGGTATATCAAAACATATGATAGAATGTAAAATTGAATATAAGTCAAATAGACCAATTTTTAGAATTAGATTTCAAGAAGATTCACAAGAATATATTATAGAATCTAAGAAATCTCCAAGTGCCATAGCTAATAACTATTTATGGGTTAGTTCAATTTTAATAAAAATCTTTACTATAAATATCTATTCTAAATTTTTTATTTTTATATAGAAAAAAATCCAAATAATCTAGGTGCAAAAATATCTTGTATACACATATTTTGCTTTAATAATCTGGATATAGAAAGAGAACATGAAAGAAAAAATCGATCTTCTTCTTTTAGACCATTTAATACCATATTTTCCCCAAAATAAGCTACCATTTTTGGGCCAAAAATTATATGAAAATTCCCGAAGTAGCTTATTTTGGGAACA